AGAATATAAAATATACAAATAAAGAGAGTAAAAAGAAATCCTTAAAGGGAAAATAAAAGTGTAAATTAAGTACATTCAAAATTAAAAAATGAAAACCTGGACTTTTAAAGTTAAGAAAGTACAAAAAAATATTTTTTTAAATATTAGTACTAAATCTAATCATCCTATAATACCGATTCACTTTAAAATTAGTTGAAAATAAATATTCTTAGTTTTCTATTATGAAGTGACACACTATACTAGGATATATCCAATTATAGATCATTATTGGGGAACAATCCCTATGATTATTATACAAAATAATCAATAGTTGGGATTATTGTGAGCAGATCAACAACTATTGGTATTAAAAAAATTACTATGCAATTCAAACCTTTACTCATGTTGCACACAAGATAAAATGTAATTTATCTGGGTAGAAATTGACTAATTACCCATGTCATGCAATTTAATTAGATTGTGTTTGAGACAGATAAAATGCAATTTGTTTCAATAAATGATTACATAGGTAAATAAATTTCTTACAGTAAAATGATAGCTGAAATCAATTTATGTTTAGATAAAGATGATCAAAAAACTTATTTCATTTGGATGCAATAATAAATTAACAAAAACATTTTGAATTTTCCATTGAATTGTTATATATAAAGCAATGGCGAGTTTCTATTAGTCCAAAATAAGATTCACTCGAGAAACATGTATAATCATCTATTGTTATCATCAATTAAATTCACACTTATTTGTCGGTAATTATAACTGAAAGACACAGCATTGCCTCTGTCCCAAAAAGGTTTGTCACATTAACTTTTGATAATGATTTTAACGATTATATATATATATATATTTGTATATATTTTATAACTTTATGCTTTTATGAAGATTTTAGTAAGGAAGATTTTAATATAACATTCATATTCAAAATAATTACGTATTAAAATATCATTAGTCAAAGTTAACTATAATTGACGAAGAAGAGTTATTTTGACAAATCTTTTTTGGATGGACGGAGTAGAGAAAACTAAAACTAAATAAATGTCCTTTTATCTCATGCATGACATGGATTGAAATATAATATTAGATAGTTAATTTATTGATTCTAAATTGAACTGAACAACTTCGGATAAATTATACTATCCTTCGTTTTTAATAGCAACATGTTGTCTTTTGGCACTGTTCACATGATCTACTTTGACTACATTTTACACTATTATTTTATGGAAATTACTTTTCTAAAAAGATGTTTTTCAATTCATCTCATTACAAAATTTCAAAATATGATTTTTAATATTTTTTTATTAATATAGTTTAAGATATACTTACGGTCAAATGTGTGCGTTGGCAAATGTGCAAAGGTTGACTGTTGCAACTAAAAAAGAACGGAGGAAGTATCTACTCGGTAAAATAGTGTAACTTTTCTTTTAACATATTTAAACATTTAACTTTTCAAAAAGATAACATGAATATGGACAGAAGAATACTAAATGGGTATTTGTTAAATACTTTTTTCGTCCTTTATATCTTTGTCATTTTTTTGTTTTAAAAATTGTCATTTTCCCTTCTAATCAATTATTTTGTGGTTCGTGTTATTTCTTTTTCCTTTACACAAATCTCAATCACACAGTTTTTACTTTATTATTTTTCGTGTTGATCATTGATCAAACTTGACAAAGTCATAAAAATAGAGAGAGAACTATCATTATGTTTGAGTAACATAAGGTCTCAGTGATTCATATGGTTGCAATTCTATAACCAAAATAATTTTTTAGTGAAAAGTTGTTTCAAAAGATACATTTTCTTTCATTATTACTCATATTGGTTATAGATTTATAGGTGATGAAGATTAAGATGTCGAGAACTTAAGACGTAGATATATTTTACGTATTATATATAAATGAGTAATCAATAGTTGAGCTTGTTAGAAACATGTAGATTACGAGTCATTGAGATTTTTATTCTCATTCTTTCCTTTAAAATATGGTAAAATGCGGAGCATGTTAAAATGACAAATATGGAACATGATACGTAGTATTTGATATTCCGATGAAAGTTTATATTTTGTCAAATAAATGTTAGTTTCCATTGCCTTAACATTATTTTACTTTATCCCCCGATGAATTACATGCCATATTATAATTAGTGTCTTGATTAAAACGTAAAGCATTTAAGTGTCATTTGACGTTAACCTGCGGTATAGCAATTATTGCTTAAATCAATGTTAGTCATAATTAATCACTTATTATCTATTAGAGATTTATGTAATAATGAATCAATTAGAGATCGAATTTTATTTATTTGATTGTTCATTCTCTTTAAATAATATGAAACGACAAAGACTATAATACAAGTATCTTTTATCTCGTGTACGACAGGGGTACAAATACTAGAAAGTTATGGTTGACAGCTTTGTAGTCGCAAATTATACCGTGGGATCGACATACCGTGCGCACGGTATGCCCATCCCAATACGGTGCCGTTTTGGAATTAAAAACAGAGGCTAGAAGGTGCGTCCATCCCGTTCCCCATCCTTTTTTTTATCTCCTACTCGTTCGCATTTCGTCTCCTTCGCCCCTTCATCTCTTTCGCCTGAACAATTTTGAGGAGTTCAATAGAGGCCATGACCGGACCTGCAACCAACAAAGAAGGCTGGGAATTCAAAGGAGATACCTGGAGCAAGGAAGAAGCGTCGGAAGTTGTGGATTTTGATTCATGTTGAGTCGTCGATCTGCGTATCTCTCCTCTCAATGATTAGGCTGCCGATTGATCCAAATGCCCTGGCCACGTGACACAGGGGAACGAATAGGGATTTGAACTCCATCTCCATCTTCAGATCTAGTGGGATATGGGTTCTATTGGGAATATTTTTTTGTTTACACGTATTTTTAATTATCTCCCTACGTTACATTTTTATTAAAATAATTTACATTTCCTTTTATCTCAAGTTACACATATATTAGGCTAAGTTACATTTCAACTTTTGTGAACAAGTTACATCTCGTTTACACGTGATTTACATTTATCATAAGAGGAGTTACATCACAAAATAGTGCGAGTTACACAACGAAATAAACTTCTGCTATTTAAACAAAATTGTTTTAGTACTAAAAAAACCTAGCAGCGGCGATGACTAAGGCGGCGCACGAACGAGTTACAGATTGATGACCGAGTAGGCTTGCGACGGAGGCGCGGGCCGCGCGGCGTGGCATCTGTGCAGGGCAGGTTCATAGCTCTATTCCATCAGTGAGTTTTTTTAAGTTTTTCTTGCCCGGATTCATTCCGTGGGTTTTGTCCGGCTGATTCTGGCCGAGTATTTTTGCGGTGGTGTATTGGTGTGGTTGAGAGTCTTGATTGGCTTTTTGATTGAACGGCTCTGTTCGGGAGTTTTGGTTCGATTCCATTGTTTTCCAGTTTTCTTGCTTTGGTGATTATCGTTCTGTTGGGGGTGAAAATGGAGATCTCAAAGAAGATTAATATGTTATCAATTGCCGAGGAAGAGAATAGGGGATTGGTTATTGCTGCTGATCCGTTGGAACAGGAGGGTGGAACTGTTGAGGGGTATAATCTAGCGGCCGTGGCTCGAGTGGTGACTGACAAACCTGTTCGCACTGTTTCTTTCTATCAAATAATGGCTATGGTCTGGAGGCCAGTGAAAGGAGTTTCTATCGATGAAATTGAGGACTCAAAATTCCTATTACTATTCTATCATGAAGGAGACTTGAATAGAGTTGTGGAAGACGGGCCTTGGTCCTTTGAGCATAATTTGGTGGTTATTCGACGATTGGAGCGTACTGATAAACCTCTAGAGGTTGAATTGGACCATGCAGACTTTTGGGTCCAAGTACATGATTTACCGTTAAGTTATATGACGGTAAAGGCTGCACATGGTATAGCCAATAGCATTGGCTCCTTTGTACAACTGGATGAGAGCTCTCCTAGCGGAAAACAAAGGCTGGTTATGCGCATTAGGGTCACGTTGAACGTTAAGGTGGCTCTAACTCGACGCCTGCAGGTTAGACATGAGGGAGACAATTGGACCTAGGCAAATTTCAAAAATGAGAGACTCCCAAATTTCTGTTTTTTGTGTGGGATTTTGGGTCATGCTGACCGGTTCTGCCCCTCCAACCCGCATAGTGGTCTGGGAATGGGGGAAAAACCCTATGGGCCATGGTTGCGGGCCGATATGAGACGGGGAGGAGTTCACTCGGGGAACAAAAGGCTTATTCCTAGTAATAACAAACCGGGAGATAGGCAAGGAAAAATTGCAGAGCTGGACAGAGAGGCGGGGGATCAGGAGAGCTATTTGGTGGAGGGACTTTTATCAAAGGGGAAGGAGATTGTGTCAACTGGGGATGCGTCCAGGAAGCGTCGGATCACTGAAAAGGAAAACGAGGTGGGGACACAGGCAAGCATGGATGTTGATGAGGTGGCTTCAAAAAACTTGGAAGTGGCGGTGCTGACCGGGTAGCATCGCCAGTAGTGGAAAGAGGTGAGAGCTTGATGGATGTTCCTTTAGCGGAGGCTGGTCAAACCGCTACTCTCTTGCCAGTGGCTGGTCAAACTGGCTTATGTTATTCTTCTGCTTTTTCATCAGTTTTGAACACCGTTTTGTCTTTTCATTCCCTTTCTAGTAGCAGGAACAACATTGCTGTGCTTAGAGTCTACCACATTGCGGGGTTAGCGAGATGGGCCGCTAGTAAGCGTGTCTCCAGCTCTGAGTCTCACCCTAGTGTAGCCTTTGGTATGGCGATTTTGTACCCGGTCTTGGACGTTATTAATGATTAAAAATAAAACATATTCATCATTTATGTAAATTAATTGGACAATTAGACCTTTTTTCATTGTTTACATTGAAATCAATGTTTTTATTTCTTCTACTTTGTATATTGGACACGTTACATTTGGACTGACCTGCAGTTACATATTGTTATGATTGAGTTACATTGATCAATAACATGAGTTATATATCTTTACACACGAATCATTCATACTATACTATTGAGACAAAAAAGGAGTTTTGGCGAGATGTTCGTTCGACTCAACAACCTGTGATCCAAGTAGTCCGTATAGTACAGTCAATGCAGAGAGAGAATGGATGGATGGAATTCTCTCTCTCTATATATATAACAAACTAACAATCAATGAAGAAGAAGATGATAAGGTAAAATTCCATACACTCACGCCTGTCATAGTCTTCTTTCTCATGTATATAAACACATTTTTGGAATAATAACAAAACACATCATTCCAATTCCAATCACTACTACTACTACTACTCGCTGCTGCTTTCTGTTCATGATTCTGCCGCCCGCTGCCATTTTAACTTGAGCACACCACTCACTCCTCCCATTCTTAACAATAACAATAATAATTGTTACTATTACTGGGCAGATCAGTTCAATCCTTCCTATATTATGCTCAGCGGAACGGCCACAGAGCGGACGCCGTAACCATATTCGTTTTTCACTCAGAGAGAGAGATGGGGTTGCTTTTTGGAATTTGGTGTGTTGTTCTGGGGCTTTTGGTTTGTGGGAAGGGGTACCCGGAAGAAGACCTGGTCAAGGCTCTGCCCGGCCAGCCAAATGTTGGGTTCAAGCAATATGCTGGGTACATTGATGTTGATTCCAGAGCTGGGAGGAGTCTCTTTTACTACTTTGTTGAAGCTGAACTGGACCCGCCTCACAAGCCCCTCACTCTTTGGTTAAATGGAGGTCCAGGCTGCTCTTCAATTGGTGGGGGAGCCTTCACAGAGCTGGGCCCTTTCTTTCCCAGAGGTGATGGACGAGGTCTTATAAGAAATCCAAGTTCATGGAATAAAGCATCAAATCTCCTTTTCGTTGAGTCTCCTGCTGGCGTAGGATGGTCATATTCAAATACAAGTTCTGACTACGAATGTGGAGATGCCTCAACCGGTAACATGGAATTCCTAATTGGCTACCGCAGTTTTAGTTTATGTAAATCTTAGAATTAAAAAATAAAAAAAACCCCATCAATTCTTATGCTTTTTGCAGCCAGGGATATGCGTATTTTCATGACGAATTGGCTCAACAAGTTCCCTTCATACAAATCCAGAGACTTGTACCTCACAGGAGAAAGCTATGCTGGTAAGAGGAATTGGGTGTTTTAGGAAGGGAAGGGGATGTTTGGTTCAAGGCCTTGTTCGTGTGGGGATCTTGGAGGGATGATTGATCTATATTCGTTAGATTTAGACTTGAAATTCCTGTATTATATGTTAGACCAATTATTCATATATAATTTCTCATTTTCACTTTATCCCCCATCTTGTAAATGTAGAAAATATTTTAAAAAACTTGATATCACTCCTCCCTTACTCTCCCATCCTAAATCCTTGAACCAACCAAGCCCTTTGTGTTTTCCTGCATTCGTGTATTAGGTTTGATGCTGACTCTCGTCATTTTTACTTGTCCTATTTAGGACATTACATTCCACAGTTAACTATTGCTCTTCTAGACCACAATCAATACTCCAAAGGATTCAAGTTCAACCTCAAAGGAGTTGCTGTATGTGAACTAAGTTTATGTCGTATTGAATATATCATGGGTGTTCAATGCTGATACCTTTTCAATTTTTTTTAAATAATTGGCGACATTTTAGAGTCTTTTTTGGCACTGGACAGATTGGGAACCCTCTGCTGAAACTGGATCGCGATGTTCCAGCAACATATGAATTCTTTTGGTCCCATGGAATGATTTCCGATGAAATTGGTCTAACAATAATGCAAGATTGCGATTTTGAAGACTACACATTTCCTAATCCACACAATGTGTCACAATCGTGTAATGATGCCATGGCGGAGGCCGACCGCATTGTTGGTCAATATATAAACAACTACGATGTGATTCTTGATGTATGCTATCCGTCAATTGTGGAGCAAGAGTTGCGTTTGCGCAAGATGGTATTTATTCCATTAATTTTTTCACATGATGAGTTGTATGAGAATTAACGTTTTCATTGAATAAATTAAAACTATGGGTCATCTGGAAACAGTCTCTCTGTGCTTTAGTACAAGGGGTAAGACTTCGATCATCTGACCCCCCTTACCCCACCGTAGGTGGGAGCCTTTGCGGCACTGGGGTAAATGAAATGAATTAAATAAATTAAAAGAACTGCATTTTGAAGTGTTCTCAACAAAACAATGCATTCTGCAGCATTTTCATCAAAGCATCTCATTTGCAACGCTTTCATGAAAACACTGCTTTATTTAATTATTATTTATTTATTTATTTATTTATCCATCCATCCATTTATTTAATTAGTTGTTGATTATTTATTTATCCATCTATCTATTTATTAAATATTTATAATATTATTTATTTATATTATTTATTTATTTATTTATTGAATTATTTAATAATTCAATAATCAATAAATAGTTGTTGATTAAATATTATTTAATTATTTATTTATCTAGGATCGACATTTTGATTGAAAATATGATTTCCATACAAACCTGATATCATTGTTATGTTCTTTCATTAATATGTATGCAACTTTTGGTGTATGACCTAAATTTTACCCCTATTTGAAGGCCACAAAGATAAGTGTAGGTGTTGATGTGTGTATGAGCTATGAAAGACGCTTCTACTTTAACCTTCCTGAGGTTCAGCAGGCCATTCATGCAAACCGAACCAAGTTGCCATATGGTTGGTCTATGTGCAGTAGGTAAGTATGTCAAACATTTTGATGAATTTTGAGATGAAACGTGTCTAAGAAAACCTTCTTAAACAGTATATCAGCAGTTGGACGTTGAATTGGCCCCTATATTATATTTCCTCGGACATGTAAGGACATGAAGTGTTTTGGAGTTACAATTTCCAAACGCCCCGATATTCTTGTAAAACTTATTTTCTCTGTTAGAGAGAGATGCCAAATACTAGTAAATATTCTATTTTTTCCTGAAAATTGATGACGAAATACAGTCTGCTCAAATAGACTTTCCCATTTATGAATCTTGTTTGTTGAACACCACATCTTTATGAAAGATTTGAGTTTGCGACCAATGTTTAGTTCGATATTAGATTTCACACTTCACTTTTTTTATTATTTGAGTTTGCGCCCTATAAGTGGGCTATATATCTAGACTTTGTGGCCCATGATTAGATTACATAGTTGACTTTCTACCCCACGTTGGGACTAAGGGGTGTATATTTAAAAGATTTTGAAAATGAGGTGGAAAGTCCAATATTGAATTAAAGATGGGATGCAAACTCTAATTCTCCCTTTTTTAAACTGAAGAATTATATTCTCTACCTTTATGGGATAAAATTGACCCCCCCCCCCCCCCCAAACTGCAGCATTCTGAGCTACAATCAATCTGATGGAAGCATTGACATTCTACCTCTTCTTAAAAGGATTGTACAAAACCACATTCCAGTCTGGATTTTCAGGTGAAGATTTCAACGCGTTACAATCTTAGCAGAGTTTTGGTTATGGGTACTGCCAATTATTATGTACTACGGTATAATATAGTACTACGTATAATCTAGCGCACTTATCAATACACTTGATGCAGCGGGGACCAGGATTCTGTTGTACCATTGCTTGGGTCGCGCACACTTGTCCGTGAACTTGCTCATGACTTGGGGCTCAAGACGACAGTCCCTTATGGAGCTTGGTTTCACAAGGGACAGGTACTACTACTATGTTTCCCTTTTCTAGCTCTCTATGGCTCTCTTTGGTGAGATCAAACTGCAACACCTAATGATGGGTTGAACTATAACAATAAATTAAATCGAGCAGTGACTGGATGTCATTCAAACAAAAGTTAATTTGATAGTGTTTTATAATATGTGGAATAGGTGGGAGGCTGGGCAACAGAGTATGGAAACATATTAACCTTTGCCACGGTAAGAGGCGCATCTCATATGGTGCCATATGCTCAGCCCTCTAGAGCTTTGCATCTCTTCAGCGACTTTATACATGGGCGGAGGCTGCCAAACACAACTCGCCCCTCCATTGATGAATGAGTCAAGTTCCCGACTTCAAAATGCAGCTTGACATTCCTCGTAGGTCTTTCCATTATTAAATGTTAGTAGATCGCCACTAAATATTAGTAGCCCTGCCATGAATCATTTGTAGTTCATTCCGGAACATATAAACAAAGTTTAATATTATGAAGCCAGATACCCACCACAAAATTTAATATTATGCCCATATACTCGCCATTAAACTCAACAAAAACCAGAAGTGTACATGCATGCAGTTGTGGATGTTTTTTTGGTATAGTGTTGACGATTCAAATAACCATGGAGGGATCTATATCGGGCCTATGGTGAGCTAAAGTTTTTGGTATAGAGTGCAATGTAGTTTAATAAAATTTAGTGTAAACGTTTTTCCTTGTCCGCTTTAACCGCTCACCTAATATAATCAATCACTCTTCAGTCTAGTACATTGACATTCAGCACGGCATAGGTGTAGTGCATGAGGCATCCATTGTCAATGAGGCTACTGCAATTCCAATTTGAATGGGTTTAGAAGGGGCCTATCCTATTAGAGTATATAGATAGATCAATCTATTACTCGTGTTCTATTAAAGGAGAGGTGGACTTGGGGCCAGTTCCGAGTAACAAGGGGAGAATTGAAGCTCAACAAGGGATAGGTTTGTTAGTTACCTGCCAGCTGAGAGTTAAGCCACTGACACTTTAACCTGAGTAATTACACAAAAATGAGTAAAGTTAATGACTTGTTCACTCTAACCTTAGCTTCATTTTAGATGACATTCTCACTAGTTTTAAATTTTCCATCATGAAATTATTGGTTAGATTCTTGCAATTAGGTAAAAAGGTATGTTCAAAATATTTTGTTTCATTCTAAACTAGTATAGTACACATGCATACGCAAGAGGCACGAGAAAGAGCAGTTGGTGCATTTATTTTACTAATTAAGTATTATAATAAAAATAACTTTTTAGAATTCTACATTTCCGAATAATAAGTGTACAATAAACTAATACCACAAAGTATAAGCCCATACAATATATATTCAATGAAGTGTATGTTAGGAAAAATTAATTGACACCATTCATTAATATTTGATACTTATTAATTTTCATGATTAGATTAATTTTAAAATTAAATAACATTCAAAACAAGTGAGTACAATAAGTGAGTGGCATAAAATTTAAGTTAATAAATAAATGTTAAAATTAAAGAATATTAGTTTTTTTTTGTAACTGGGAGGCTTATATTGATAAAAGAACACTCAGCAAGGGACAATATTGATAAAGTAAGCACTTCTGACCATCGACCCTCGAACCAGCTGGAGAATCAATCACCTTAAAAAAAGCAATATGATTCGCTGATCCTATCATGGGTCTACCTGAGCCAAACGTGGCCAGAGTAAAAACCTCATCACCCCCACCTAGTGTAAAAGTCTGGAAGAACAAAAACACAGCAATTGAAAAGAAAGCGTACTGAGAAAATAAAGTAAACTCAAAAATAAACAAAGCGTGGAAATTAAAACGCAGCCTGAAGCAAAGGAACGAGCACCAGCACCAATTCCCGATTGCAAACTTCTTCAAAGAGTGTGGCGGGTCAGGACGTCTAAACCCGCCCCCTCCCCGTTTTTTGGGTCCAGCACCATAGTCTCACCTACTTCTCCTGCTTCACCAGATTCTTCCCAGACCCGCCTGCGCTTTGGCTCTCCACTATTGTCCTCCATAGTTGCTGCATCCGCCTTCTCTCCTCCAGCCTTTGGGTCACTTGCTGAAGGGATGCCCCAATTTTTCCTGCCAGGACCCGAGCTGCCTCCCTCCTCACGGGCTGCCCTGCTTCCCCCCCCCCCCCCCCCCCCCCAGGTGCGTCTGAGATGATCCACTTATTTCCTCTCTCCAATCGTGCCTTCCCTCCCCCTCCTGCTCGTAGACTGACCCCATACGGCCTGGTGGTGCCCACAACATCCTTCTCATACACTAGTGGACAAAACCTGTCAGAGTGTCCTATGATACCACAAGCAAAGCAGAAACTAGGCAATTTCTCATATTTAAAATCCACCCAGTATCCTTCGCCATGTCCCTTCCTGAGTGTGGTCCCAATCTTCAGGGGTTTGCCCACATCCAAGCAAGCCCTAACCCTCATATACGGCTCCCACTTTTTATCATACTGGGGTTTCTCCCAGTTAACAAATTTTCCAACAAAATTTCCAATTCTCCTAGCCACACCCAGATTCATAAAATCATAAGGAATGTCATGAACCTGGACCCAGAATTCGACCTCATTTAGAGGAACACGGAGTGGAACATCCCCGGGTTGTAATGCCCGAAGAACTAGCAAATTCTGTTCAAAAATCCACGGTCCATCTTCAAGCACACGTTTCATGTCTATAGGATGGTAAAAAGTAAACATATACCTTTTTCCGTCGATTTCTTTGATGGAAATACCCTTACCAGGCATCCAAAGTGAGGCCATCAGATTACGAAGTGCCGAGAAATTCACCATCTTGATGGTGATCACAGTCCCTACCACCGGATACACCTCCTGTTTGCCCGAGCCATCCTCCTCTTCAAGAGCCTCCTCCTCAAAGACCAGTTCTTCTTCCTGATTCCCCAGTACCAAATCCTTGCATTTGTTAGCGATCTCTTCCATTCTCCTCCTCAAAAAAATGGCCCAAGGCAGTCTGCCCCTGTACTCGAAGTTACAGCCGAACCCAAGAGCAACTTCACCCAAGAGCGAAGAAAAAGAAACGCCGCCGAGTCGATCTCTTCTCCCAGCCAAAAAACAGCAACCGAGCCAAGCCGATCTCTCCCTTCACGCTCGAGAAGAAGAAATCGCCGCCGAAGATGCCCAACCCTAATTACCTAGGGAGACGTCCGCTTTATTAAAAGTGTGTTATATCCTATTTAAATCTCTCTGTTTTTCTGTAAATATATATTCTTATTTGCAGAGAACTTCGTAAAGGTGTTTACTTTTTATTAATTGTATCCTTCTGGATCTATTTAAAGAATATTAGTTAAATAAGAACTTGATACTCATTAGTAAATTAGTGGTAACATACGTGAGAAAATTATATTGCTCAATTCTTAGCCGCCTTGTGTTATACCTACAAGAATGAAACCATTACAACCCGCACGGATAGCTCAGTTGGTCGAGTGGTGGGAAATTTGGATCAATGGACCACAGTTCGAATCCCCGTAGCGACCGGGTGGAGGTTACAGAACCTGAAATAAGGCTGGACCTTTGGCGCGCACGGGTGTATGACCTACTGTCACTTTGCTGACTCAGTGACCGTGACTTACTTCTTCACCTTCCTGTCGGGTCGGGGTGTGGGGGCTCCTGGGGTGGGAGATTCCACCTTTTTGGATCAAAGAATGAAACAATTACACCAGCTGGTTGTGAGGTTATCATGCTTAGTGGGAGGTCTCAAGTTCGAAACCCGCTAGGCACATAGGGGTTTGAAAGTCAATGGAGTAAGTTTCAGCTATGATTATTTCATCTTCCCCAGCCCCCCTCCCCCAGACTCCCCTGGAGTAAAAAAAAAAGACTAAAATGAAGATTATTTACAATTATTAATATAAATAAATTAATTATTCAAGTCTAGGCACTTTTTTCTTAATTTTTGACATTTTCAAATGTACCTTTGATTTAGAGATAGACTTTTTTAAATTAGTGATAACGACTTCACGCAAATACAAATGCATATTGGCTAATTAGATTACGGCGAGTCAAGATGAGATGGAGTTGCCCCGCATAGGATGGGTCATGGGCGGGACGGGTCACGGGTCCACCTAATAAAGTCACAGAACGCGTCTGGATCTTGTAGCACTCGCCCCACCCCATTACCATGCCTAAAGACCTAAACTCATCCATGCAACAATTGCCTTGTCCACATCAAGCATCACCTTTTTATCACAAGAAAATAGAAAGTACAAGTACAAGATGATACCACAACTCACACATAATGAATTAGAGAAAATTTTACTTTTGTATTAGAAAAAATGAATCTTAAAAAGGGATAATAGGGTGTGCTTACAAACCATAAAAGAAAAAGTGATTTTCAGCTTTTGACTAAAAAAACAAAAATAAATGTTTTCAAGTGACAACTTCTACTTAAATTCAACACTTAAATCTAATGGCTGAAAACTGATTTTTACTTTTTCTATTACACAAAAGGCACATATTTTAACAAAACACTAGCAACTCTTATTTTTCAAAATCAATTGTTTCTCAAACACTACTAAGGGAGTGTTTGCATTTGAATAAAAAAAACACTTTTCAGCTTTTGGCTTAAAAAGCTTAAATTAGTGTTTTCAAACACGAACTTCTACTTAAAAAAAGGACTTTAAAGTCAAAAGATGGAAGCTGAGATATGGATCCTTTTAAGTGCTTCTAGGTTATTTTTTTGTGAATGACTCAAATTCCAAGGATAATTATTATCCTTTCAAACCCCAAAATACCTTTCGGCGCCCTCTTCAGTCTTCCCTACGATGTGCCTACTTCCTAAGATTGCAATTCCACGATTGCTACTTCACTTCACCATGGAAGATGCCCCCAGAACTACTAAGGAGTCCCATTTGGAGAAATAGGTGGCCTCCTCCCTACTTTGCTCACATGCTTCCGATTCATTTGAGAATTGTTGTTCTTCATCTTCGAATATATGTATAAGTGTATACATGTGTGTGTATGTGCGTGCGTGTGTATTATAGATGAGCATTTATCTAACAGAGGCTATTACGAGGATAATAATTGCAAGCTGCAAGCCTTGTTGAAACCCCCAATTTCCATTTACTCAGTAATTTGTAGAAGGTTATATTGGTATTTTGATAAAATACTACATTAAAAATCACATTTTTACCAAAGACTTCAACTTTAACTTCTCAACAAAATCACTTTTATTCTAACACACTTTCAACTTTCACTACAAATCACTTTCTCCCAATTCACTTAAAATAATCACTTTTTTAAAATAGAAGCAAACGCAAACCCTCCCTAAGACCCTAACTTTTACTATTAAGCATTTTCTCCAAAATCACTTTAAAAATCATTTTTTAAGCGGGAGCAATTGCAAACACTCCATAATTTGTACATTGGAGTTGCAGGTTTTTAAGTCAAACAACATATCCATAGTTAGTTTAAGCCCAAGCAATGGTCATACTCAAGCCGAAGCATAATCTTATGAGAATAAGATTTATCAAATCGATAGCGTTTTGCTTGAAAAGAAAAGAATAAATACATAGCTATGAAAGGAAAAAAGAAAAAAGAAAAACGCTAGGCAACTTACCCTTCAACAAACACATAAAAACAAATCAAAATATCCTAACTCCAAGTCTGTAATTCTTCAACATTCACATGACACTCCATAACAAAAACAAAAGTTCTGAATCTCAAATGTCAAGAGTTTTCCTTTAGACTTCGCTCCACATATGCCTGCAAGATGATAAAAGAGGTGTTCAGCAATTGGCTGAAATTCCTGAGGAACATCTTAAAGCCAAAGATAAATAAAAGTTCAAAGCATTATCAAGAATGCATTGGAGCATAAATATATTTTATCTTTACACTCTAGTTCACAAAGCAGAACCCAAATCATATGGATCACCTCATTTTATGTTTTCATTTTATTTTTTCCAGGGGTAAGGAGCACCCCCAATGGCTCCCCCCATGTCGATAAGCATACACATCAACACAAACAAATGAGTGCAATGCACAGCAAACAAAACTGACTCAAGCCTTAATCCCTAGTTTGGGTCATTTATATGGAATTGTGGATCATCTCTTTTCCAAGTTCTCTTCCACGAAACTTTGAGCACAGCCCCGTATTCTTAAAAACCTTTGCGCTGATTAGTTTTGGCATACCTTAACGTTAAACTAGCCCCTATAGCTACAATGATTAGGGATGCCACTTTGGACCGAAAACTGAACCACATTGAAAAACTGAACCAATGTAATATGGGACGGGAATTGGGACCCGCAAAAAACATGGTTTAATTTCGGATCATGTACCCAAAAAAATTGGTTTGACCAAACCGAACCGAAAAAATTATATTAATGCTAATATTTATTATTAATTACCATTAGTAAGGTAGTTAGCAATGCTGTGTAGAAAAGATATAATCCATTTGAGCTTCGAATTATAGACAGTAAGCGTGTTGGTGAGATGGTTGTACAGCAGATGCGGTTTCCATGACATCACGTGTTTGATTCCCTGATCAATCTTTATTTTTGAACTTTCAATTTTCATTCCAAATCAACTTTGTCCTACACCAGAAGAAGAGAGGTACTCCTCCTTAAGATTTTCTATATAATAACCTTCTAAGAAGCATAGAAATAACCTGGCAACCAATCTTACTGATTGGGCTTGGTATGAAAGTTAATGGGCTTAGACAGCTCAAACTTCTATTGTTTCAGAATTGAAACGAATTACTATTCAACAATTTATTAAATTTTATATAAACTCGGTTTATTCACTTTTCAGCTAGCTGATCTGAAAACTCGACACCCAATAAATCAGTACCCGTTCCTTAATGGTTCGGTTTCAGTTTCAGTTTTTAGGATAACCGAAATGTCAATTCGGTCCTACAATGGACAGTATCGGTTTGAGGCCCGAACCTAACCCAGCTAACCAGCTCTAAACCATATTACCTAAATTTTATTCATCTTCAATTAGCACGTACACCTTACTTCTAACCAAACCATTTTAAGAAAAACAATCTAATGAATAATGATTGGCTTCAACAAACTAGCCAAGAAAAGAAACAGAGAAATCACCTGTGCCAGTTTGTTAATTTTGGCTTTAGAACAGGACAGATAGTGCTCAATTTTATCTTGACTTTTAGGGAAATGATCTCCTTGGATACTACCCATCACTTTATCAACCACCTTCTTAACAATAGTCTTGTGTACTTCTCGGCTCATGCGACCTTCTTTCCATTTCGGCTTCAGGATCTCTTTGACTAACTCTATAAGAGCAATCTTGAACAACCGTGTAACCTTATCATCTTTCTTACCATTCACCTCTTCACACTTACCAGTGACACCGACACTGTAAGGGTTATTATTTTGTTGCTCATCCCCACAATCATTGGCTTGAAGTCTTTTATTTTCATTCAGTTCTGATTTTGCACCAGACTCCTGCTGCTTCAAACATTGATCCCCGGTGCACTCTACATTTGAAGCATTATACTGCTTTATGTGTCCAGCTTCGGAGTTCAAGGAAGATGATTGATTCATTTGCTTTAAAGAATCTTTGATTCCATGTTGACTCAAGTTGGAGGCATTAACAGGTATTACAAAGTTGTCAGGCATACCCCATTGAGATTCATCACCATGGGCTTGGCACATATCTGAATCATTTATAACTGGATCGACTCTAGAATATACAGCATTGAAGGTTGGAAGCAGTCCAGGGTTGGAATCAGAACAGATGACTGATGGAGATGCAACTTCATGTTGCTGAGATTTTCCCGGCTCATACTCAAATTTCTCTGTGAGAGGAGCTGGAGAGCCATGCATTTCAGTTGTTGGGACACTGAATGTAGCACCAGAAAGACTTAAATCCAGCACCTCTGATCTGGTGGCAGCTTCTTTATTCTGATAGCACGTACTATCTTTTGGAATGATACTATGTCCATTTGAAGGGATGGCATGAAGCTTAGAATCACCTTGGGCAGCTCCATCCAAGCATGAGGAATATTCAGAACCTAGGTTAGACCTCTCACTAACTTCATTGAATCTTTGTTCTGGTAATAAAACTGGATAGGTAGTCTGACTATCGATGTTTACATCATTTAACACATCAGATTTATTTGTCTTGCCAGTGTCCCGAAAAGGATATGACTCAAGAGGATGATTTGACATTATATAAGGGTGAACAACATTGCAGGGAAAAGCCCCCTGAGAAGCATCTTTCATTTTCTCCTGTCTTTCACCATGAACTAAACATCCGCCCAGACTTGGGAGTAGTGAAGCTTGAGATATAGCATTACTGTAATGGTCATTACTGGAGCTTTTCAGAGTAGATTCAACTTTAGGATAAACATCTCTCTCCTCGCACGAAGTTGTATTTTTCCACATAGCTCTCTCATTTTCCGAATTGTGAGCCCATCTACTATTTGTCTGACCAAAAGGTACAGTAATATCAGAGTTTTCCCTCGCAGCAGTGTCAAGCCGCTCATTAGTCTTCTCAAGATTAGAAGTCCTAGCTGTATCATCATCCCACACTGATTTGTTCCACAACTCATTTGAGTTAACCAAGCCATGATCCCCAATGTGACCAACTCTATCAGTATGAACCGCATCCGAATGGTTTGATATTGCTACACTCTCACCTATAGGAGCAGTATTGAAGCTAGAGTCCATTTCTGCATCATCCCACCTTAGGTCATCCCAGTTATGCTTTTTATTATCCAATCTGTGGCCACCTACGTTATTAGAGGAACTAATTCCAACATCTGTTTGTATAGCACCATCATGAGAAAAATTGCAGTTTTCACTATAGCACTTTCCCGCAACAAAATACTTGCACAGACGTCTACTAGTTTTACTTGGTTCATGCTTCCAATTGTAATCAGGGGATGTATTCCTGATACTACTATCATAGATGTGACTAGAAGACCCAGAATGAGAAAATCTGCAAGATGCTCCCCAACGGCACTTACCTCTGCCAAAATCTTTGCAAGTAATGACACTATTATTCCTGGGATGTTCACTCTCTATATTATAGAGATCAGGAACCTTACCCCGACAACGAACTTCAATGGTTTCACTATTCGCATATCTTGAGACTTCTGCACTCTCATGCCCACCACTCCATCTTTCTGCAAGGTTGTGCTCTAAAGAATATTTGTCCTTAACCTTAAAATTATCTGGATGAAAGAACCTACATTCACCACCTCTCCTACACCTCCCACTGGAAAATTCTCTACAGACTTTTGATGACATTCGAGATCCAATTTGTCTATCATCCCATTCATATGAATCACATTTCTGATTTGGGGGAGAACCATGACTTCTTGGCCTGCCTCTGAAATGTCCCTTGTCCCTACTCCTGCTTCTACTTCTACTCCTCCATCTTTTCTCCCTACTCCAGCTGCGGCTTCTGCTCCTGCCTCTTCCTGGAATCCTATTGTTTTAGACAATAAGAAACATATAAACGTTGGCAGTGAATTTTATGAAGATAACTTCTTTCTTGCTAATATTAGCAATCAATCTAAAGTCACAAAAATATTTATATTACAGGAAAAAATCAAAATAAACATAAAAGACTGCAGTCTCTCACTCAACAAAGCATTTACAATGTCACCGAACTCTATAGAAGGAATCATCATGCCTTTCCACTGACACTTCCAAAATATGCTGGAATAAAAGTAGAATGAAAGTATGCATTTAAAAGTGAAAGCCTGAGATAGTTTCTAGGCAATCCATTAGGAACATGCATCATATGATGATAACATAAAGTCACATACCTGCGAGACTGTTTCAAACCATGTTCAGAAAACTTGCTATTCCTTTGCTGCCTTGGTCCATCAAAAGTTGGAGACGAGTATTCTCGATAAAACTTTCCCCTCTTGTGCTCCTCAGTTTCTGAAAGACGCTCAGCATCCTTGCTGATCCTCTTATTTGGTTGCAGTTGACTATTTTGCGGTGAGTCATTCCAGCTAGAATACCTATTGGATGAACTATCTGCTTTTGAAGAATTCTGCTCCTTGAAACGTCTTCCATCATGACTGGGATACTGACCCTTCCCAACCCAAGCATTTTTTACATCGACCTCATGATGAGAAGAATTTTCCTCGGAATCCCAAAAAGACCTGCGCTTTTTTAGACTTTCATCCATAGCGCTTTTGTTTTCAAGTATCAACTATGTTATCTCCTCAATTCTGGCATGCTCTGAAAGTCGATGGAAGAAAATAATTACACAAAATATCTTACAACAACTACATCAGAAGAAGAATATGCATATTCATGCTTTTATTATTAATATGCCCCCACAAAGTAACGCTTCAGGGTATACAAACAGGTATAAAAATCCACAGGGAAATGAGAAACTACAAAGCATGCTGATAGGAAGCACAAATGAAACTTCCCCGAATCCAACTAATCTATTTGGGTTGTTCTTATTATCATATGGAAGCGTTAATGTATTGCGATAGAAAATCATCTCCTAGTGGAAGCATGATGAAGACATGAAGTAGAAACAATTACAAGTTCCATAACATAGAATGTTTGACAAAACCAAATGTTTGCAATTGTGCATTTGCGCACACATTTGGACCAAATGCAGAATACAGATTAAGGTGTTGCCTAAAATAAGCAATGGTCAAATTTAGGTCTAATGTGTAACCCTCATGGAAAATGCAATGATGCAGATGTGAGACACACACAACATTATTATCAGGGTTTTACTTAATTAAGTTGGTTCACTTTAAATAGCAGTCCATTTTTCCTTCAAAAATTCCACAGGTAATGCACAAAAATCAACTTCTCTTCTCAAGTCTTAACTTCTTGGATATTCTCTTCTCGCCCGTGCAAGGCATGTTTTTCCAGTTGATGAGGAAGAGATTTTAATGCACCAAACCCCCTAGTTTTATATAAATTATGCACATTAGGCCCCATGGGGTTTAAAAGACGTGTCAAGCCCCCATGTGTTATGATTAATCATGAACAAAAACCTCTCCAAGAACAAATTTAACAATTGAAAATCACTTGGTCTTAATATTATAATTGAATATGCAAGTAAATTTGTCAACATCTCTAAATTACACAAAAATACTAATCATTTTTCCTTTATTCAGCAATTGATTATGTTCTTGGAGGGGGTTTTGCGCATGATTATAACACAAGGGGTTTGATGCATTTTTCAAATCACAAGGGACTAATGCACAAAATTTATATATCACAAGGAGGTTTGGTGCATTAAACCCTGATTAGGAGGATGGTGATGGAAAAAATGATAGTGAATTTTGACCCTATTTCAAACCGCTATTTTTCATTAATTAATCTATTGAACTTTAAACTTTCCGAGTTCGCAACATTTGATGCTATGTGATGCATGAGTAGTTGAACTTACAATATTGATGAGTTGATGAACTCAACTCATTACTGCTCATTTAGAGTTTTGATTATGGGTGATGCACTTGTGAGAAGACTTGACGGGTGGGGAGAAGAGACAGAGAGGAGAGGAAGGGGAAGACCCAAACAGACTTGGATTAGAGGAATCAGAGCTGATATGCGTCTTCTTGGGTTGGATGAGAGTATGGCTTTGGAGAGAGCAAGGTGGATGGCGCACATTCGTGTGGACGATTGATCTCTTTTCTATATTTCCTCTCTCCTTTTTCTTTTATGGTTTATCTTCTTTACCTTTTTATATTCTTATGTTTTTTATCTTCTAGCTATTTTTATGCTCTTTTATCCTTTTATCTTTTATCTTTTTATCTTTTATCTTTCTTATGATCTTATGTTATTGTTATCTTATACTACGTATTTATGTATTTATTTATCTTTATGTTATCAGTTTTATCTTAATTTTTTTTTTCTTCTTGTCCGTCTTCTCTTTTTGGCATTGATATCATGGATCCATTCATGTTAGTCAACCCCAAAATCTTTTGGTATTAAGGCTTTGATGTTGTCGTTGTAGAGTTTAGATTTCGGGTCCTTACAATTAGCAATGGGGCTAAAGCAATACACAATCCTTCCAAACTGACTCAATTGCGCAATATGCAATTGTGAACATTGACAAAACCCAAAACACAATATCTCAATTTTTAGAAGAGTGGAAAATGAAAGATATAGAATTCAGCATCACAAATTCAAAACAAACGTTCACTACATGAGCAAAAGAAATCAAGTCAATGTTTTCCCCTGCTTGAGTCATTAAATATATCATACTTCTCTGAACTTTTTACCATAGGAACCTACATACATGGGAACAGTGTTAGAACTTTGCATGAGAAACCCACCAGGAAATTCTAGTTCAAAGCTTTAAGAACACGTTGATTTTGTTATTTTTTTAAAAACAAGGTCATAATGTGACTTATGTAGGAATTTGGAACGACAAACAAGTGTAGGCATGTAGCAAGTGCAGCTAGTGTAGTTCAATGTCTCACTGAACAAACTCTCATGACTCATAAAGGCTGGCTATGAGGAGCTTCTTAGGCATTTTGCTAAAACATCAGTTCTTCTTGAGTTCTAGTTCCACGACTGCTCTTGCTTCAGATCAAGCAACATATGATACCATCAGCTATAATAGATCAAGATGATTGGTTTGAACGCATAAAACTGTTACAAGTCAAATTTCAATTTCAGTCTACAGATTTGTTCAAGTTGAAGTGAAGATTTCATGTCAAAGCTCAAGTCAATGCTCAAAAAGCAAGTTCAAGTTGAAGATTAGCGGTTTGAAGTCAAAAGTTAGCTTTTGTTCAGGTTTAAGAACAAGGTTTCAAGTGTGGTATGTGATTTAAGAACAAACAAGCTTAAGCATATATGCTTTAGTTTGAGGAGGCTTTCGAAAAAAGTGAGTGTTAAGTATCAGTTAAGCATCCATGGAGGTTAGTTGATCTTAGGTGCAGGAGTAGTTTGAGGACCCTAAAATCAGACTCGTTCACTCTTAAAACTCACACAGCGCAATTATTTGTGTAATATAAAGAGTTTTTCCTTCATTGGAAAGGGGTAAGAAATAAGGTTTGTTGGTATGAGGTATTAAAAAAGGGACGTGTTAGTGTTGGGTTAATTGTTTCCAATATCTAACATGATACTACCTAACCTTTTGAAAGCCATATATGCAGAACGGGGAACTCTTCTTCTTTATTGGTAAAAACATGACTTGCAAATTACAAGTTCAATTTTTTAAAAAACTATTAATGCTTATATAGGGAAGATAAAATGGGCCTCAAGAGGGGGCATCTACAAGGTTGACACAAAACTTAACTTTAAATTTGATACTAGAAAATGGAGATTCGAACTTCAGTGAAGTTTACTTGACTTCACTTCTACTAAATTTAATGAACTCTATTATGCTCTACATAGCTGACCCCAAAATCTTTGGTGAATAATGCTTGGATGTTGTTGTATTAAGTTCTACATTACTTCAGGTGTATTCTATGGAATTCTACTTTGTTTGACTTTACTTAATTTAACGTGACTCAACGGCTATATCGAGAACACCATTAACGCCATCCCTTGTCTTCTTCATTTTCTTCTTGTCTGCTTCACTGGTGAGGAGATAAACGCTTCTTTTTTTTTGTTAGAATGTATCATAGGAGTCGATGGAGTATATTCAGAAGTTCACCACGTTCCTTTATTAACAGAATTAAGTTGGGGAAAGATGCAGGACACCGAAAGTTGATTTAAATCCACAAGAGAATCATTGGGAGCTTGCAACCGGATCTGGATAGTTTTTGGAGAAAATGGCATCTAGATAATCCTCATGCATTACCATGTGGCCCAAAGTCACTGACACGGTGTTGGCACATGGCAGGGAATATGGTGAGGCAGCGATGGACTTCTAGGAGAAGCTTTGCAGCGAGATTGTGTGATCAGTTTCTGCAAATAAGTGAACAGCTACATGAGATGTTTTGAATCGGAGTGATAATAGCACCTGCAACCAGAGACTACTTTATGGAAATGGGGTTTTTAATCTACCATTGTGCAAGGGCTAGACTCTTGATGAGCCACTAAGCCAATTCACTATCCAGCAGTTGGTTCAAGTTTAAATCCTAAATTCATTTCATCTAGATTGAACAAGAAAAGATTTAAATGCATAAAATAAGACATTGTTTGACTTAATTATTGTCCTGCTCAAATCCTTAATGGAAAATCCGCTAATCCAAAACCATTATATCTCCAAAACATCTACAGACAAGGTTAAAAGAACACAATTCTGCTTATTTTATGACATACAGGAAGAGGTTCTATATTGATTAGAAGTAAAATACACAACCACTGGGCAGTGGCCAAAGATTTTTATCCAATAGCAAGACAAAGTCTTTTTTGCACTATATATTTTGCGTTTTGAATAAAATAGATCCCACGCAAACCAAAACCCTTGGCCTTACAGATAGGAGAGCAGTTCTAATTTGTATTTTTTTCTGTGTTTTCTCATCCTGACTCGGTGACTCAAGCACACAACGACACGGGCTGTACAGCGGTTGGTGAGACCCAATCTACAACTTCAGCTGTGTATTTAGTTCTCCCGAGGCCTGACACAGGCACACAACAAAACCCAAACGGACAAACAAAGTCATCACTCATCATCATCGCCCACTCGTCCGTCAAACTTTTTTCCGCGCTAGCAATTGCAGACTTCAAGTTTGAAGAGGGTTAGGTAGTTAGGTTGTCGCTATAAGCAATTGCAGGATTTGCAGCAATGAAAGGTAATTGCAATTCAATATACTATGTATTATATTATTCAATTGTACTTTATGATTTGTGCATTCATTAAAACTTTTTTTAATTAGCTGTGAATTTTGATATGCATGATAGGTTATGAATTTTGAATTTTGTTTCGTTACATGCTTATAGATTCATATTGAATTTGTGAAATTTGGTTATTTAGATTAGATATAATAATACTGAGAGTTTAACGATTGCTTGATTCTACAAGTTGAAAAGGAAATGTTTGATGAGTGAGTCGATCTTACAACAGTTTCTCTCAGTCTTAATGTATTGTTGTTTCAAATATTTTATCATATTAATGGTTTAGTCGGGTTTGATCTTGTCCCCTCCATACAATTCCTAGATACACAACTGACACTGACTACATCATCAGATAAGAGAAGCTTAAACTGATAAGTAGACCGTGGGAAACCCTAGGTAGAGAAGAAAGACATATACGCACCTACATACATCCGTATATACATTCGTAATAGCACTAATACATGCACACACATACACTCCAGTCGATGCACAAAGAGACAGAAGCTGACCTGGGGCAATGGAGAGAGCGGTGAAAGACGGCGAAGAACACGGCCTGCTTATTTCTTATCTTCGCTTTACTTCAAGGAGAGAAGCGGAGGTGCGCGGTTGGAAAGAGGGAGGGAGGGAGGGAGCCAGAGAGTGTCGCGTGCGCTTCACTGCGAGCAACTTTACTGTTCAGCGACTCCAGCCAGTTCTTTGCAGCGTTTAGGTTTGAGCCGATGAGCCCTTTATCTATCTACAACTCAAATATAGAGAGAGACAGAGAGAGCCTTTATCCAGCCAGTTTTTTTTTTTTTAGAGAGAGACAGAGTAGAGTGTTTAATTGCATTTACTTCCTCAACATTTGGATGTTTTATTTTATGAGAGTGGTATAGTACCCGTGCATCGCACGGGTAAAATAGAAACCGTAAATGAATTATTTACAAATTTTGAAATAATTTTCTATACTTCTATACTTTTGTGAGCTTTTAAAAGTAACTGTCAACTTTTATGACTAAAAAGATCTTAAAAAGAAAATGTGATAGTTGTTTGGTAAAAAGCAGACTGCTTGATTTAGTTCGGTTTGGTATACAAGCTGTTAGGACTAATTAAGGTTATGTTTAGCACACAAAAGGCTCTAGCTTCTAGCTTCTCTATCATTTAAAAAGACCTTAAAAGACTCTAGTTGTATGTTTGACATGACATTTTTTAAGATCTTTTCAAAAATTAAAAGATCTTTTTTGAGATATTACCGGGTGTAGCATCTGAGAAAAGTTCGTGACTTTTAGTATTAATTAGTCCTAACAACTTGTATACCAAACCGAACTAAATCAAACAGTCAACTTTTTACCAAACAGCTATCACATTTTCTTTTTAAGATCTTTTCAGTCACTAAAAGCTAACAGTTACTAAAAAACTCGTAAAAGTAGGTGGACCCGCCCCGCCCCGTGACATGCACGGGTCCAAACTTGTTGACCCATGGCCCGCCCCATGCGGGGCGGGTCCGCCCCGCTGTAACCTTATTAGCTGGTATGTATTTTTATTTGTGGGAAGTTGTTACCAATTGAATCTACATAAAGTTTATCTCTAAATAATAATTAAAAAATAATATATTAAATCAAATTCATGATACCCCAAAAATTTCAAAAATTAAGGAAATAGGAGTATTACTCAGACTTGAATAGTTAATCTATTTAATTATATTAATAATTGAACATATGTATTAAAATGTTATATATAAAGAAGACATTGATAATATGTCGTTCATCTCATTCTAATATATGTATTAATATATTATAAGATCAAAGAATTTATGATTTACTGTATACACACATATGTATGTTGAAGTATATTAGTATAATTTAAGAAAAAGTATGTATGCTTATGTATTGAGCGGGTCGGGTCGGGTCGGGCGGCACGGGTCAATACTAATACCCGGACCCGCCCCATTGTATAGGCGGCGCGGGGCGGACCCGCCCCATTTGGAAGACGGGGCGGGCCGGACCCGCCCCAAATGTCTCGGGCCAGGGCGGGTCACTGCGGGTCGGATTTTTTTGACATCCATACATAAAAGTATCTTTTTAGCTAATTGTGCCAAACATACCCTATATAATAGTGATATACAAAGAATTTAAGTTTAAAGCAAATATCAATATAAAAAACGATGAGAAGCCTTGTAAAGATGGTTTTAAGTTGGAACCCAAGTGGGTGAATAATTCAAATTCTCCAACAATTTCTTTGCAAATTTGGTACCGAGTATGATCTCAATGAATTCAGTTACTATTACAAACTATTTCTTTTGATTACAAACAAATTAAAGAATGGTGTTTATTTTATTATTGTTACTTTAGATTATTTTTTGAACAAATTACTTCAAGGCATAAGAAAAATTAACCATGATATACAGAGTTTATAAAACATACGGAGTACAAACTCACGAATAGTCCATAAAAGATAGTCCTAAAATTTGGCCTGCTTTTTGGTTTACTAAACTTCTAGTCTGCTAATTAATTTTAAAATACAGAAAAGTTGTACTTCAAAGTCCTACACCATCATGGAAAACACTACACACTTCCTAGCCAAACGTCACCTCTACGTCGACGCTTAGTTTTCTACAAAAACCATCAAAAACTTACATCCGACCTCTCATATCTCCCGTCATAGCTCCAAATTTCAGCAAAAGAGGAAGATAAGCTATGGAAGCGGGGATTTCAGATCTGGGTTTTCTCAGACCTGAGCTGGATCACCTTTCACTCCGTCATCGTGCACCCACGGGATGTTTGTTTGTCAGACGAAGTTTGCTGCATCTGCGGAAGTTCATCAGAACGTCCCAGGCCTTGTTACCCCGCTTCTGGTCCAGCACCGCTATCGCCAGCGGGAGCGCCCACCGCTGCAGCGGAACTCACTCACCGTCGTATCCATCAGCTATAATCCCCTGAAAAAAAGCCTAGATCTTCCAGGTCTGAAAAACTAGCTCCTCGCGAACCCAGCTCCTCAATCCAAATGCAGGGAAATCATGTCACTCAAGGGAGATGGGAACCAAACCCCGACACATGAATGGCGCCGGCCAGACGGCCACTCGCTCTAGCATCCACCTTCAATCCAGCACTTGAAGTATGAGCTGGATTCAATTTCAAATCACATATCCCAAGGACTACGCATTTCAGAATGTAGATTGTTACTCTTGTCTCGAAAGTAGGGTGGCTTGCGTGTGAAAATTAACAAAATATTTGAGAGGTTATGGAGTCAACTTTGTCATTAATGCCGAGCATACATCCAATCAACTTTAACTATTGGATAGTGAGCTCCATCCGTTTTTTGTTGTCTTCCCCATGTTACATGACCAGAGCGTTGGCAAAAGCCACCCCTAAAACCCGACCCGGTTTTTTACCCATATTTTTGGGCGGGAAACCCGCTAGATTTTCCACTCCTTTTTATATAGAGATAGATAAATCTTGAAATTTTTAAAAGCCACTCTGTATGGAAAAAAAGGCTATTAACCTCGATTGGTTGAGTAATCTCTTGTATGTGTGTATTTTTTATTTTGGAAAATCGCATATATGGTTCTTCAGTTATCCACGAAATTAAAATCTCAGACCCGTATTTCTCAGATTTCAAATTACACCCCCGAGTTGGCCAAATTACATTAAATCTTGTCCCTGCCGTTAGAAGTCCAAGTAACACCGTCCAATTAAGAACCCATTTTATCAGGGGTAAACATGTAACTTCCCAAATTTTAGGTTTAAATCCGTAACTATCTCTTCGACCTTAACCCTTTATCACGCTTAGCACTCCCAATTTCAAATCCTTTGGTTAAACATCAAAACTTACCTGAAAAACATTCTGTTGGACATGGCGCTCAAATATTGAAGCTTAGTTGTTCGCTTGAAGCTCGAAGCTGTGACGGAGGAAGGATGACCAATCGAAGATTAAATGAGTTAACTGCCACTCCAAAGTGTAAGTACTCAAACCAAAGTTATATATTGTTGTATAAGTTTTGTACCGGAAAAGATAATGGCATTTATGGGTTGTATAGTATATGAACTTCACATGCACTCATTTACGTATGCGAAATTGGTGTTAAGTGTTGGTGTTATTGCTTATGCTTTGTATATAGGGACCCTTGTATGTATATAATAATGGTAGCGTTGAATATGAAGTGTTGTGCTGTAAAAAATAGGGCCCCTATTGAATAGGCCCTAAGAAGTGTTATAGAGTGTTATTGCTTATGCTTTGTATATAGGGACCCTTGGTGTTAAGTGTTGTGCTATAGGGACCCTATCGAATAAGTGTTGGTGTTATTGCTTATGCTTTGTATATAGGGACCATTGTATATGATCATGCACTCTGGCTTTGTGGTGTTGATTTATCATTAATTGTGTTTGTTATAGTTTCTTGAAGATTGAAGTTCTTGTATTACTTGTTATGATTTGTAGATACCAAGGATGAGAGACATACTTACACAATCAAGTTGTATTATGCTGGCGATTTGGTGCTTCAACCTGTTATACAATATAAGAATGGGAGAGTAGAGTACTTTGATTACTTTAACGGTGAGGAGGGAAGTATCTTGGAGTTAAGAAAGTTAGTGAAGAAGCTACGGTTCTGCTCTAAGAAGGTTATCTTCTGGTTGAGATATGGTTCCGAGAAATTTCCTAGAGTGAGAAGAATAATGACAGATGAAGACTTGTACAACATATGTTATGAGCTTCCAAAAAACAGAGAGATAAAGATGTTTGTGGAGCATGTCAATGAGGATCAATGGAATTATGATGTGAATGTATCTTCTTTTATTCCTGATGAGCTGGAACGAGTGTATGACTATAATGATGACAACAGCTCATCATCTAGTTCAAAGGGAGAGTCATTTGAAGATAGCATGTATTCTGCTGGAGGTGAAGATAAAGGTAAAGGCATTACTACCAGTGCCATGAACAAGACCCATGACAATGAGTTTGTAGGGTGGGGAGTGGAAGACATGGAAGATGATGATTGTGTGTATTTTGAAGATGATTTGAGAAGCCTGGGCTCTGATTCATATAATGAGGGGATTGATCAAGGTCGTGTGTATGAAGAAAGAGACTTTAAGAAGGATGGGTTTAAATTTGCCCTTGGTATGAAGTTCCGGAGTAGTATTGATTTCAAATGGGTTTTGACTCACCAAGAAGCAAAGAACATGAAGTTATCATATTTCCCAAAAATGAAAGTAGAAGGGTTAGAGTAGTCTGCAGGCATGAACACTGTAAGTGGACCATATTTGGGTCCAAAAGTAACCCAAACTGTCTTTCACAGTTAAAACTCACTATCCGGATCATACATGTGGAGACCAACATGACAATAAGACCATCACCTCTGGGTTTCTTGCAAAAGTGTATGAAGATGAGTTCATGATCAACCACAACTGGGGTAGAAAGGAGTTTCAACAGCATGTGCAAAATAAGTACAAATGTAAGCTGGGTAAACACAAATCTTACAGGGCTAAGAGGCTGGCAATGAAGAAATTAGAAGGTGATGATTCCAAGCAATTTGACTTGTTGTGGGACTACTGTGAAGAGTTGAGAAGAAGCAATCCTGGAACAACAATTAAGATGAAGCTTGATGGTGACTTCAGTGTGAATGGGAGGTCAAGACTCCTGAGATTGTACATTGCTTATGGAGCTTGCAAGCAAGGTTTCTTGAGTGGTTGTAGACCTCTTATAGGGCTAGATGGTTGTGACCTAAAGGGTTCTCAGAAAGGAGGACAACTACTTTTAGCCATTGGAGTTGATCCTAACAACTCAATTTATCCAATTGCATTTGCTGT